CCTGAACGGTTTTCTCACTGCACTCAATACATTTTCAAATGAGATAATTCAGGCAGTTTGTTATATCCTTTGTTATTTCCTTAATATATCCTTTGATTAGCCTTGATATTCAGGACAGAGATCAGGTTGATTAATAATATCCCCAGCATGTAGTCTGGCCCCTTTTAGGTCTCCCAAAATAATTGCTAATAAATACAATGAATTTGAATGAACAGAATATAAGTCTGTTTTGTGCCCTTCACTGTCTACTTTGCTTAGATCTTGGAACTACATTTCCCAGGTTTCTTTGTTCTTTGGCTTCTGGGTATATTTGCCAACAGCAAGCTTTGGTGAAAAGCTAGGGAGCAAGGGAAAACATGTGTAATCCAGTTTTATTCATCCCAAGGTATTTTTGGCATTGACTGTACATCCACTGTGAACCTACCTTCTATCAGCCAGTTTGGACTGCTGGATTTCCTTAACTCCCCATAGCCATTGTTCCCGCAGCCCTAGATGTGACCCTGGCTCCTTGATTCTGCTCATATCGGGGTGGCCTCACTATCTCTGCTCTTTATCGCCAATGTAATCCTCTAATTAAACTTACTGTTTTAAAGACTTCAAGTAGGTCACATTTTCCTTACTGGACCCTAATAAAAATCCTTGGTACGAAAAGTATCTTAAAAGAAATACCTTTAACAATGGTTCAAGTACAAGGTATGGAGTCGAAATCTTAAAATTTAAATTCTCGGTATGCCTCGCATAAGCACTTCCCTAGGCAGCTCCTGATTTGATGCTTTTCAAACGGTGTCGAGGCATCGAAATATCACATAGCACTCTCTGGTGTGTCTCAGACGTTTACATTTTCAAATCAAGTCAACAGTGAAACTTGACATTTTGGCAGCAAATTTGAGATAGTTCAGACTCTCAAGGTAAGATTGCACCATCATCCCTCCAATTTCATTTTCTTTTAGAAAGTAATTTTATTAAATTATAAAAGTTTCCATTTCCGCCCCTCCTCCCAACACCCTCCCACTCTCCCCACTCCCTCTCCAATTTCATTTTTGTGGAGCTGGGTTTCCAGGTTGCCCGGGCACTGTGATTCCAGGGCATTGGAAGTCATGTAGGAGCAGGCACATGCATCCTCCGGGTAAGCAACTCACTTGCAATAAAGAAAAACTAGTATGTTTTTTTTTTTCATCTCTGCAAATGATGCCTTTCAAACAGCTTCTGAGTTCTTAGGGTATGGTTACCTTGGACTTGATTATTTAGAGCTGGAAAGGTTAGGGTTTGTTTGTTGGCTAAGGGGTACCACGAAGGCTTCTAGCACATTAAGAAGTGAACTAAGAAAGAGGTTAAGGGCCTTTTGCATTTGTTTGTGTCATCTGAAACATGAGGCAAGCTGCTCTCCTGTCTCCCTTGGGCCTATGGAAGGACAGCTGTCATACTGTATATGGTGGCCCTTTTGGGCTGTCTACCAACATTCATTCTCCATCCTGGTGGAACTTGGGTTAGATTCTGGAACCCACATGACCATCTCACATCAAAGTGTGGCAGGAAGCTGCGATCATGGCAGCTCCAGAAACTGGGTGGTGGTATCTAAGATTATCTTATTGTCCCTACCCAAGATTGGCGTAAGGACGGCGGTGCTTTCCTTCTGTTCTGAGACACAGGACAAGGTTAATTCAGGCTCCTCTTCAGGGATGTCACTATGTATAGATACAGAACTTATGACCATCCTAAGGGGATCTATGCATAGAGGTAGGAAAGCTCAGGGAACAGGAAACTGCAGAGAAATAAGGCCAGAGAGACTCTATGCAGTCAGTCCTAAACTCTTTATCCCTCTGGACTCAGGGTCGTAAGTCAAAGCACATCCTCCCTTATGAACAGTGTATCTTGAAGCAGAAAGCATCTGACTTTATGTAGAGGAAGAATTCTGTAAGTGATAAAGAGCAATGGCATTGCTACTAATGCCCAGGGTGTAGCTAGGAGGAGGAGGTGGACACAGATAGATATGTGGTCGGGATGCATCTGTGATGTGATTTGTCCTCACAGTTTGTCACTTCTCATCACTTCCAATATGGCACCATCAACAGAGGGAAAATACACATTGAATGATGGTGCAAGAATATCATTCCTCTTTCTTTAGATTTTCCTATATTTAGTTGCCGGCTTCTTTTTCATCCTTCCCAAAGCCCACACTTTCTCCTTTATTTTTTTTAAAATTTATTTATTATATATATAGTGTTCTGGGCACCAGATCTCATGATAGAGGGGTGTGAGCCATCATGTGGTTGCTGGGAATTGAACTCAGGACCTCCGGAACAGCAGTCAGTTCTCCTAACCTCTGAGCCATCTCTCCAGCCCTCTCCTTTATGACCATATTCCTACATCTACAGCTTCAGTTTTTCACACAGAGAACTTAATTTTTTTTAAAAAAAGAGGAAGTATGGAATTTTCTTTAGTCCCTGAGCTCCAGAAAAAGGAAAGCACACATCACTAACACACTACTAACATTACTTACATACATTTATTCTTTAAATTCATAACCTTCCAAAAACGTATCATTCTCTTTGTGTAATCACCTAAACTCAGAAATCAGCATCAATGTTAGCTCCTCTGATTAGCCACATATCTTAACCAATTTGCATTTATTTTTTTCTAACCACTCCACTGAACAGATTTTTTTTTCTGAAAACATATTCTAACAATAACCATGGTTTAAAAAAGACTTGCTTGGTTTATATCTCTTAGAACAATGCCACTTGTAATGGTTAGTCTGTCTTTTTACGTACGTGGGTGTTTTCCTGCATGTATGTCTGTGTACCACATGCATGCCTGGTGATGATGGAAGCCAAAAAGAGGGTGGTGGAGCCTCTTGGCCTGGAAATACAGACTGTTGAGAGCTGTCATGTGGGTGCCAGTTCCTCTGAGCCATCTCTCCAGCCCAGCAATTGCTAATCATGATTGCCAACAGGACTGAGTTGAGAAGTCCCCAGGAGATCAGTGAATCATATTTCTGGGTGTGTTGGTGAGGGCGTTTGCATTCAGGATAATGAGGACTTTCACCTGAATGGTTTAACCCCCTGATGGATTGATAATATGCATAGCCTCTTGGGAGGCAGTGAAGTTGTGGGAATGGAGCCTGATTAGAGATGTTTGGTTGCTGGTGTAGGAAGGCCTCCTTGGGGGGGGGAGTTACTTCATACCTTGGCCCCTCCCTATTGTTGCTCCATCTGCCCCTGCATGCCATAATCCTTGCCTTGCCTTGATGGTCCGAAACTTAGCAAAAGTAAACCCTCTCCGGTATTACCTGTCTCAAGTATTGTGGTCACAACAGCAAGCAAAAGCAACAGAAATTAAGCAAGGTGAAGCCTTTGAGTTGTACATTATATACAATTGCTTGGATGCTTTATAGAAATGTAAATGTGTAGGTATCATCATTGGTCCACTCTATCAACTTTCTGGGAGCAGGGCCCAGATTCTGTGTTGGCAGATTTCGTAAACGGTGTCTTTGAACTAGATATAAATACTACAGTCATTACCCCAGGTGATCATGGCTTAATGAACAACTTGTAAGCCATAATAAAAAGTAATTTCTATCCTTGGACACACAGAGTACATTGGGAACAGAGCAAGGGCCCTAACAGAAAGAATGAACAACTTCTAAGCTTTTACAATATACCAGGTACTTCCAAAGTATTGAATCAGACATCACATGGGAGAGTGAAATTTGAACACATGACCTTTCTGACATTATAGCTCATATTCACTGTGCAAAACCATCCTAGGGATGAGAAGGGCAGGAAGTTTAACAAAGAAGGCTGCATTTGAGTCAACATGAGTTTGCTGACCAAGTGGCAGGAACAAAAGGTGTATTGTTTGTCCCAGAAAATGGTGCAGTACATGGAAGGAATGGAAGCAAGAGATACCATAGCATGTAGTCATTCGAGTTGTCCATACAAAGGGCTGCAGAGCAGGAGCTGAGGATGGGATTGGTGATCTAGGCAGCTTTCATTGTTGATTACTGTTATTCTTGCTATTAAGATTCTATTTTATCCCATGGGAGAAAAATGCACTATTGTAAAATTTTGCATGCCTAAAAGGCTAGTCTTGCATCAAAAAAATTACCAGTAAGGTGATACAACAGAAATAAAAGCAAAGTAGTGGTATCAAGAAGTGGAGACAAATAGAAAAATGGCAGTCACCTGTTGGGAGTTCTGTTGAGGTGGGTGTTGGAGGGGGGAATGGAGGATAGATATAATCAATCTATATCGTATATGCAAATGAAAATTTCAAAGGATAAATACATTTTTTTAAAGAAAAAGAGCATTTCAAAAGAGTTGGGAAGCCATTAAGTGATCAGGGGTTAAGCCGCTGTAGAAATGTGAACTCTAGCACTGAGCAAGGAAAACCATGACTCTCTGACCCAAGACCAAGGCTGACAAAGTCATTAGCATCTTTTGAAGTTGTAATAGAGATGTCCAAAGATGAAGTGCTCACTTTGTTCCTGAAGTTTATCCCAGTCATGGCTTTCACTGAGAGGCAGGTCAGCGTTAAGATGTCTTCTTCACACTTATTGGTCTCCATGTTGTCTGTGAAGTACCTCCTGACTTACTTGCTTAATTAAAGCTGCTTATTGTGATTTTTGAGAGGATAAGCAGAGGACTTCTGGGGCAGACAGAGACATGATCAGTTAAGAGGTAGACACTGGTGGGAGGAGCTTAACAGACATTCATTGGATATAGGACAGTTAATTGTCAGATGATGGAGAAGGCCACCAGGCTACCCAGCATCCAGCACACTGATCTGAAGCAGGGTTTATGAAGAAAACTTAAGACCATTTGCTAACATCTGAGTTCAAAGACAAAGAGGGAATGACAAGGCTTCAACATTTTTAAGGGGTATACATCTTTTTAACAATAGAGCCCCAATATTTCAATGCATCAGAAAATGCTATTTAATGACATTTAAAGGGCTTCCTAGAAGGCTTTTACTACTTAAAAACACTGTTCACTTCCAGGTGAAAAAAAAAGTTTTATTTATTAAAATTATATTAATCCATTTAAAATATACCATAGTTATATTTCTATAAGAGCATTAATACCAATCAATCATGTTATCAAGTAAATTTGAAAGGCAGAGAAGTCATGACAAGTTAATATTGGTACACACACAAAAATATTCCTCAATCAGAGGCTCTGGAACGCGGTTTCAAAATGCAATCATTACTCTGTAATCAGCCTTCAGCTGTGCCTTGATTGGACTACTCGGATCGCTTCATTGCTATTCATCTGCATTTCCACGCACACCATGGGTGTGATTCTCCAGTGTAACAGTGTTCAGATTCCCCGGAGCCATGTGAGTCAGAGGTGGGCTTTTGGCTTCTTATTCCCAATGACTCCATCTGAACACAGCTGCTTGATCTCGTCTGGACTGAACCCAAACTCTCTAAGAACCTCTTCGGTGTGCTCTCCTACAAAGGAATCCCTTTTGACAGAAGGGACGCCCGGGGTTCTGGACAGCAGAGGTGCAGGGCGGGGGCTTGTACGCTGCTCCTCGTCAGTGATGAATGAGGCGCGCTCCCTGTTGTGACTGTGGTGGACGGCCTCCTTAATCGTCAGCACCGGGGTCACACAGGCGTCTGTCCCATCGAAGATCTGGCACCACTCGGCCCTGGTCTTCTTCGCAAACACATCTGCAAATTTCTTCTTCATTTCCGGCCAATCAGCCACGCTCATCTGGGGGGTCAGTTCTTCCGACTGGAGTCCAAGTCCTGGAGGGAAATGCAGTGTCTGAGGTTATTAGGCTCTGGGCGCAGCAATAATCAGCGAAGACTCCACCATGACAGCCCAAATCAGAGTTTCTCAAAGCAGTAGCCAGGAAAAACCTAACCAGTTTGACGCTGAAGCCAACGGCAGGGGTAGTAGCGGGGACAGCTCAGAACAAGCTTGTCATTGTCAAGAGTTTTTTTACTGACAATTTCAGAAAAGGAGTCTGTTTTCAATGATCTAGTTTCCAGAAATTGACATCTTTCCTGAGTAGATTTTTTTTTTAAAGAAATTTCCTCAGGGGGGCTGGAGAGATGGCTCAGAGGTTAAGAGCACTGACTGCTTTTCCGGAGGTCCTGAGTTCAATTCCCAGCAACCACATGGTGGCTCACAACCATCTGTAATGAGATCTGGTGCCCTCTTCTGGCCTGCAGGCATACATGGAAGTTGAACACTGTGTACATAATAAATAAATCTTTAAAAAAAAAAAGAAATTTCCTCAGAATAGCATTATCTGTCTAGCTGAATTAAGGTAACACTACACTTTATATAAAAATAAAATTTTAAATATTACACCTGACTATCACTGCTGACAAGAAAGGAGGCTCAGGATAAGTGGTAAGCACAGGGCTGTAGCTTTGTAAGTAATATTCCTTTCTCTTCACCTTAAACTAAAAGCTCAAAGGTTTTTAAGGTAGCCAAAGTCTAGGTGAAGATTTTTAGACCGCACATTGTTGTGAAAATTTGCCAAAGAACTATTATTTCTCATTGTCAGTGTTCAATAAATTATATGGGATATTCAACAGTTTATTATTTTTAAAAAGCCATGGGTAAGAGGAGTTTCCCAGTTGTATAGTCTCATGTAAGTGTTCAGAGCCCATTAAGCTACGCTGTTCAGCAGACACATCTGATGCATCTTCATGAGTTTGTCTACAACACTGTCCCAAGTGAAGGAGCTTCTATGCAGCCAGAGTCACTTTATAGGGGATGGGTATAAATCTCACTTTCCCTCTTAAAAGTGAGATTTTAAGGCTGGGCAGTGGTGACGCAAGCCTTTAACCCCAGCACTCAGGAGGCAGAGGCAGGCAGATCTCTGTGAGTCCAAGGCCAGCCTGGTCTATAATAGCTAGTTCCAGGATAGGCACCAAAAAAGCTACAGAGAAACCCTGTCTCGAAAAAAACCTTTAAAAAAAAAAAGTGAGATTTTACCTAGCTTAGCTGAGCACTAAACGAACTGGGCAGACTTCAGTGGTTATACATACAAGTAACAGATTTAGTTATGAAAATCATTAGAAACACAAACCTGCAGAGTGCTCAATTATCTAATCAGAGAAACAGAATGCCACATTAATAAAGAGAAATGAACAGACTTCTAAGACACCACCAAATATATTTACAAAGGCAATAAAAGGGCCATAAAAAGACAGGACAGAAAGGTCAGAAGAAAGAGACTGAATAAATATCCTGAGTTATTTTACAGAGTAGTAAAATTATCTGTCAATTTAAGAAATTGACAGGAAAAATGCCCCCACAATACGTTGATGGCTAGGGTTACATTAACTAGAAAGTTGGATGTAAAAAACAACAACAACAAAAAGACATCATGGAATTCAAAAGGTCCCAAAATCAAGATTAAAGAGCTCACAGTAAAGGGGGAACAGGAGAATCACAACTGGCTACTTACCTTTGACCAGCAGCTGATAGAACTGAGGCTCTATTGCACCAACAGCCATGAACTTCCCATCTGCTGTCTTGTAGGTTGTGTAGAAAGGTGACCCACCATCTAACAGGTTTTGTCCTCGAGGCTGTTCCCACAGTATCGAGTGCTGAGTCTTCCACAGGAAAGAACTTAAGTAGGCCGATCCTTCCACCTTTGAAGAAGCAAGGCACTTTAGGTTGCAGATGCTTAGGTAGGTATAAAGGAAGGGTTATTTAGGGTTTTGAATATTTATGTATCTGCCTATTTTACAAGGCATGGCAATTATATCTAACCATACAATATTCACTGATATTTCTGCAAACCGAGACAGACAGGGTTTACAAGACAATGCCATTGGTCCACTCTTCAATTTAGGAAATACTGTATGATGTAGAGGAACTATATTTGTCTTCCTTTCAAATACTGCCAAAGTGTTAATGATTCTTGAAGTTAGGTAACAGTGCATGGACACTCACTGAATTTATTCTCTCTACTTTTGTTTGTGTATGAGTATACAGATGTCAGAGGTCAATGTCAGGTGTCTTTCTCAATTACAGGTATACCAAACAATCCTACAGGTCAGGCAGTTATAGAAAGACCAAATCGAACTATAAAGGATATGCTAAACAAACAGAAAGGAATGGAAAATACTTTCAGAAATAGATTGCATAATGCTTTATTAACCTTTAACGTTGATGAGAAAGGAACAACGGCAGCAGAGAGACATTGGGAGAGACATTGGATAGTAGAAAAAACTTCTGAATTAAATCAACCAGTGTATTTTAAGGATGTGTGGACCTCACAATGGAAACGAGGAGATGTGCTATGTCGGGAAAGAGGTTTCACTCTTGTTTCCACCAGAGGAGGAGAAAAGCTATGGATACCATCAAAATCCATAAAGATTCACTTTGAAAAAGAGAAACCTCTTAAAAAAGAATAATGACAGCTCATCCACAGAGGTGGCAACCATACAGGTGGTAAGGAAACCTCATAAAAGTTGGGCAGGATTCTGTTCTTGTCTTTACAGGAAAATACACATCTTCAAAAAGTCAAGAGACCCTGGATGTTTAGATGCCTAAAGAAGAAAAAATAACTATCCAGAAAGGATCACTTAACAAAGAAGAATATGACTTATGAGGGCAGGTCATCTGAGGGTAAAAAAAATCATTATATATATGATATATAATATGATTATATAAAAATATATAAATCTGGCTTTGGAGTTGACAACGGCTATCCTTCTCTAAAACCAAGCATGTTGTTAAAAGAAAAACTCAGAGTTTCTGTCTCATGTCAGGAGCCATCTGGTATGGGACAGAAAGAAGATAGATTTTAAGGAAATATTTTACTTCTCTTCATGTCAATTTTGTTTATATCGTATCTTTTATTGACTATATGTCTATATGAATATTGTTTAAGTTATCCACAATGAACAGTAGATTTTCCTGCAGTAATCTTTGAAGTTTCCAGGAAGAAGATGGGCCCCACAACAATGACTCTACCTGGTTGATATGACATCATGATGCTGATAGCGCTACTATAAGACAGGTTTTGGGTACCAGCTGCTCAAGATGGTTCCAACTTGATTAGCTGAAATGGTGCACTTTTTTACAATATTCTGGCCAGAACTCCAAATAAGAACTTCAGAAAAACCTCTAACGACTACTCAGAGACCATTTGCATTATACAAGACAGCAATCTTGAAACTTAACCATCATTTTACTTTTACAGGTTCTCATAAAAAGAACATTACCCCATGACTGTTGGAAGCAATTCTAGGAGACGACGTCCCCTCTCCCAACAAAGTTTGTCCTCAGGGTTAGGGACATCATTTACGGGTTGATAATTACTCGTATAGGGTTGGGGTGGAAATTACGTAGGCCCAGAGATCTCCTTGAAAAAAAAAGAGGGGAGACTGAATGGAATAATAGACAGATTAGTATGAGTAAACTCACATTAATAATAATATTAGTGAGTAATCGAGTGAATACTTGTGAACTATTATTTATAGACAATTTACATTGGTATAGATTCTTATATATTGATACAAGTACAAATTATATTTGTTATATTGAATATGCTATTTCTGTGTACAATATTTGTACACCTATGCAGTTATTTTGTCAGATTATATATGTGCATATTTCTACCACTATTTAAGACATTTTGTATATTGATACAATTTTAGAATATATTTATCATATTGTATTATGTATTTATACCTATGATCAAGATACTTATATATTGTTTACATTTTGAGGTCACTGTCCTCTTTTACTGTACAGTTGTTTAAAGATTGTTTAATATTCTGATATGAAGTCTTAGTCTTTAAGTTATATAGGTATTAAGTGTTATAGGTCAATAGTCATTCATGTTTGTCATACTTACAGTCAGACTAAGGAAAACTATTGTTCTACACAGATCTCAATTTGGGCTTGCTCATTCCAAACTCAACAAGTTAGTGCCCACTACCAAAAGGGCCGGCTTCCTCCTCAGGCCTCACACCTGACAGACAGTTAGGGGAGCAAATACTAAGCAAGCTGCGTTACCCGAGCGGTGGCACTAGCAGTTCTCGTGGGAAGTTCAAAATACTGATCATTTGACTTTCACATTCAGGCCGAAGAGGGCGAAAAGTTTTCAGGTTCCAGACTGAACCAACCTTGTAACAAAGTCTTTCCGCTGCGCTTCCTTGTAAGTGAGGCACACTTAGCATCACAGGAGGCTGCAGGAAGAGACCCAGAGCCAGCAATCCTCATCGCATGGTGAGGCCCAGTCGTGACTCGCTCTCTCACATGCCGCGCAAGCTGCCCAGACAAGAGCCTACGGCACAGGAAGAGGGCAGACCTGACTACCGCCACTGTCATCATGTGGGCCAGCAGTCCACAGGCGACACACAACGCCAAGGTCAGGGGCACTCCAAACAGAGAGCAGATACAACAAAATCAACCTTTGCCACAGATATCTTAACCCCACAGGTTTTAGGGCAAAGCACTGTGGAAAAAAACCAGGCCCCATTTCACTTCAAGTCCTCTGCCACCAAGGATTCTGTTGCTAAACAAGAAGCTACTGGCCTGACGGGAAAAGACATCTGGCTCACCTTAGTGTCTACAAAGCCTTACAGGGCTGAGGACGTGATAAATGAGGTTTATTCAACCTCTTGCCTTAAGTCATTAACCAACAATGATTGCCTAATGTAAGTATGAATCCCAAGGGAAGTTCGTACTTTAACACACACTTGGACCTCACCATTGTTGAATAATTAGGGAAGTCTAATTAGATACATTCTGATGAAAAGTGAAGCCATCTTTTATTTACATTTAACTATAAACAGTCAATTACATGTAGCACATTATGATCCCTTTTAACTCCCAAGGCCACATGTCTGTTCTTAGTCCATTCCTTTTGGATGGCATGCACTGTGCCCACCGCAGGCTGTAGAAGAAAGCTTTTGAAAGCCTGGCTTGGGTTAAATTGTGCTACGGTTCTGTTTCTGAATCTTTCTAGCCACCCTTCAAAGAACAGTATCTGGAGTCCCCAAATTTTCAATAGCCAATGGGAATGAGCCTATCGCCCTTGGGCTGTAGGGCTCACAGAGAGGTAGCCACACGGCGCTCAGTGATACAATATGAACATTTTGCGGCTGTTGCTATCTCAAGTTGAGGCTGTGCAGTGACGAGGCCAGGAGCCAGGGTTAAAGGGTAAACGCCACAGTGCGCCTCCCAAAATACACAACAGAGTGGCCAAAAGGACAAGGGGAGCTGTGCCCATGACAGAACCACAAGAAAAAGGCATAGTGCAGGGCTGGCTATGACTCACCCATGGGGAGAAAAAAGCAGTCCACCAAGGCTTCAAGGTGAGGAGGTCCAGTGGGAGATGGACTCTGTAAAGGTCACCCAGTGACCCAATCCAATTCACATTGTTCAATCATTAAAACCTGAGGTGCTCACAGGCCTTCCTTTGACCCTCTGGCCATTAATGTCCTCTGGGCACTGTCTGACTTTGGTCTCCATGATGATAAGTCTCTCCTTGTTCTCGGCTTCTCCTTCCCCCACCATTGCCTCTCCTCTTCTGCCTACACATTCCAGACACAACAGCAGTTTGTCCCCTCCCCAGGGGACCATGGACTCTCCCACTTTATTCCCAAAATGACTGCAAATCTGTCACTAGTTCCTACTTGGGTATTCCCCCTGGACATTGAAAAGCTCCTTCAAATTGAAATGTGCAAAACTAAATTCATTTTCCTCTAGGGGAAAAAGACAATCAAAGATCCTTAGAAAGTCAACTGGGGGCACCGTTGACACACCACACAGCGATGAACTAACTCCCTAACAACTCTGACAAGTTGACATTTTATTCTTTGCCACGGTTGGAATGTGACCCACCAAGAGGACGGCAGAGCTAGGAGGAAAGAAGTCAGCTGCCCTCTGACCTCCAGATGTATTCTGACACACTCACACAAAGCAATTGAATGAATATTCAATTTGAAGTGCTGGCGCCATAGGTGGCTTCAAGATGGCATTCTAAAGCATACGGCGGGGGGGGGGGTATTTGAAAGAAAAAGATATCTTGTTAGGCATGGTGGCACACACCTTTAATTCCTGCATGCAGGAGACAGGGGTAGGTAGAACTCTATGAATTCCAGGACAGCCAGGGCTATACAGAGAGATTCTGTCTCAAAGAGAGAGAGAGAGAGAGAGAGAGAGAGAGAGAGAGAGAGAGAGAGAGCCACCTCCCTTGAATATTAAGCTTTATTTACTCCTTGTCTTATTCGGAGAATTTCTGAGGCAATCATACATCACACGGCAGCCCTACCATCCCCAGTCCACCACCCAGTTAATACTCACCATGTTCGCATCAATGACCTGACCCCGGCCAGAACGTGTGCGTTCCAAGAGAGCGAGCACAATGCCCAATGCGCACATGAGGCCACCACCACCGAAGTCGGCCAGGAGATTCAACGGGGGGTATGGGTTCTCACCATGTTGGCCAATCTTTGACAGAACACCTGTGCCATGGACAACAAATCGAATGCCCTCTTTAAATAAACACACGAGCATCTTCGAGGTATAACCGATTTTTATAATCATTGACTGAAGTGAAAATGGTACACGGTGCTCCTCAAACTATGAATTCATTTGGTTTAACTTTTCCTCTGCTAAACTGTCCTAGACTCAGGCGGTGGCACAGCCCTGCAATCCCTGCACCCAGGTGACTGAGGCAAGCAGATCTAGAGTTTTAGCCTGGGCTAGACAGTGAACTCCCCCGGCAAAATAAATAAATGAGTAAAAACAAAAAAAAAAATCACTCCAACTCACATTTTTAATATTTTATTAAAGTTTTTGCTTACTAAGTGTAAGAGAAAAAAATAATTATTGTCAATTTGTTTCCTGGCTTTAAAGCACAAAATACACTTTCATTTTTTTTTTTATCAAAAGGTGATGTAAGAAAATAATCACACACAAAAAGAACAGGAATTAAGTCTTGAAAAGATGTGAAAAGCCAGTATTATACTCACTTCCCCCTCAACCTTTGAATACCTTCTCACAGAAAGCAAATTTATTTTCATCAGAAATACACCACCCTTAGACGTAATAGAGTCAGGCTATTCTAACGCATGTTCTCACAGGCACGGATTCCAACGGAGCAATGGAGAGACCCGAAACCTGTGGGCTTTTCACAGAAGCCTGAAATGGTGGCTCAAAAGGATTCTTGGTGAGGGAATGTCAGAATCCAGCTGAACCATCTTTCCCAAAATGTAGAACGACCATCCATCTTATTACCTTGTTCCTCACCCCAGTAGGGACTTTTCTGAAAACTGACATCCCAATCATAGAAAACAGGTGTTACTAGTGATTATTACCCATCAAATGAGTTGGGGGGGCACAAGTAGAGCTTTAAAATGTTTAAAAGGACAGTTCTAGGAACTCAAATCAACCTGTTTTCAACAACCATGCTCTCTTTGCCAGTTCCAACAAGTATTTCTATCTTTACACTTTAAAGCTCTTGCTAATCAGGGCTGGGGGCTAGAGTGATGGCTCAGTCATTCAGGGTGTGTGCTGCTCTAGCACAGAACCCAAGTTCAGTTCCCAGCGCCCACACAGAAGGGCTCACAACAGAAACCTGTGACCCTAGGTCCAGGTGGTCCAGGACTCTCTTCTGGCGTCCAGAGGCATGTACACTCACACTCATGGATCCACATACATACACACAATGAAAAATAACGAATAGTTTTTAAACCCTTGTCAATCAACGGAACTGCACTTTCTGATGTTGGAGCCAATCCCAAGGGTTTTCGAAAAGCAGTTCCCACATACCTGACAAAGCCAAATAGTTGATGTCATGGCCAGCTGCCTTGGAGAAACTTCCCGACTGGCCGAATCCACTCAGTCGGGCATAGATGAGCTTTGGATTGTCCTTCAGTAGGGTTTCTGGCCCAAGCTGAAGCTTCTCCATGACACCTTTAGAGAAAAAGTCATCAATTGTTTGGTTTTTTTTTTTGTTTTGTTTTTAAAGAGAGCACGAGATAGGGATAATCCCTTCTACATGGCAAACTAAAAGTGTGCTCATGCAAGTAACACTAACAAGAGTTGCTGTGATTTGATGAAAGCTGTCATAATTAAGAGACATTTGGAGAAACCACTTAGCCAGACTGAACCACCCTCATCTTCAAATGGGGCACTTTAGCGCTATAATATAATCCTAAATGTTACCGTTACTGTCCTCAGATACGCCTATGAAGACTAAAAGTTACATATAAATATGCCTGGTGCTCCATTCCCATTCCGTTCATTGCCCAGCTTCTACCAGGCAGTGTCAGTAAGAGTGTTTAGCAAGAGTGGCTAAATCAGGGACTGATGGACACACAGGTGCATGGGATGCTCTGAACTAATAATACGGGAGGAAAGACCATTCTTAAACGGACGGAGAAAGACTTGACTCAGGTTTGTGACAGTTGCAAATGCCTGTGGACAGCCAGATGGGGATGTACGTCAATAAGCAAGTCTACAGCTCGAAAACAGTGTCTGTAGAGCATTAAAACAGTGTCTTTGCAAGGCCCAAAGTAAACGAAGTGATCTTGAAGCCAGAGTTTAGGAATATCATCATTTAGGGAGAGGCTAGCATGGACTGTGGATAGCTTTAGAGCACAGGCATACCAACATATCAAAGGGTCAGTGGCAATATTCCAACGAGTCAGATTCTCAAACGGTTCAAAACCCCCAAAGAATAAGGGCAAATGTAGAAGAACTTTTAGGGTAAAAAAAAAAAAATCAGCAAATTAAAAGCCTAGGGAACCAGAGAGGCTCAGAGTTAGGAGCCAGGAGGGAAGGGCGAACTCGCAGCGCGGCTCACCGCAGCGGAAGGGCTCCAGCAGCACGTCCGCGCTTGCGCACATGCGCCGCAACACGGCGGCTCCGCGCGGCTGCTTCAGGTCCAGCACGAGCGAGCGCTTGCCCCGGGCCAAGAGGCTCACGTCCCCGGCGGAGCCCGGCCGGTCGACGCGCACGACCTGAGCTCCGAAGTCCGCCAGGATCATGCCGCAGAACGGCCCGGGGGCCAGACCCGCCAGCTCCAAAACCCTGACGCCACGCAGAACCATGGCCAGTCCCGCGGCGACAGCCGAGCGGCCTGGAGTCCAATCCGCCCCGTATCATCTCGGACCCCCCTCCCCCGCACCCCGCCTCCCTCACGCGCCTGCGCGGGGGCGCCCCGGAGGCTTTGCGCTTGCGCACTTCCCGCCTACCCGTGGTAGACCCAGACTAAAGTTTAGCCAGTTGTTTCACTTAGTGGTTTAAATCGGGTGACAATGTTAAGTCCTTGTCCTTGAACTCCGGCTTCTGCCGACACTCTCTGGAGTCCCTGCTCCCATCCCCCAGAAGTGACTAAAGGTACTTTAAGTCCTTTACTATTTAGAGCAATATAAGGAGGCAAGCACATTTCCTCCTGTACGCCACAGGGTGTCTCCCTTGCAGTCTTGAAAACTGTTTCCTTCCAGTAACAGTTTGAAACCCCTCCTAGATGTCCTTAGATTTAAAGGGAAGGCCTGGGGTGTAGCTCAGTTGGAAGACTGCGTGCCTAGCATGCATGAAGACCAGCGCGGCTTAAAATACCCGTGGTGTGGACTCCTATGACCCCAGTATTTAGGAGTCTGGGAGATCAGAACTATTGTTCAACCGAGGTTGAGTGAGAGAGACTTAAAAATGGTTTTGGTTTGCCAGCTGTCAGTTTTATGGACAACTACAAGTTCGAGTTAGAAACTCCTTTTTTCAGCCTTTAAAAAAGTACGGCAAACAATCAAATACCCTACCCACGTTTACAGGTCGTTTTCCCAGTAGCGGGTGGAGACTGTGTGTAGGTGGCCAAATACCGTTTTTAAAAGCTCTAGGAAACTGAATAAAGCGAGAGAGACATGAAATCTAGAAAATTCTGGCACCTATGTTTAACAATTGAGGCAGATAAGAAAAGCAAAGGCGAAATGCTATGTAGTTGTCGCCAAAACTGTTTTAACCTGCAGCTGAGTTTTAAGATACTTCTGGGCAGGGGGAATCTGTGCTCTCCCAGAGTGAGCTGCCTCCTGCTAGGGGCAGGTCAGTTGCTGTTTCACGTGTCTACCCTTGTTCCAGCCTAAAGTTTCCTATTATCACCGCTTACTTTCTGTGCATTTTGAAAAACTGGAAAGGAAAAAGAAAATTGCAAAGCCTGGTATGGCTGGCTTCCGCACCGAGATATTAGCATTTTATTGGAGTTGCTTTCGTTCTTTTTTTTTTCTGAAAAACCTGGTACAATGTGACTTGAGCTTACATACAAGATCATAGTCACATGAATTGAAGGTCTTAACCAGTACCATACTTTACAAATCATTTCAAAGTACTGAGTTATCCAGAGGCCCAGACAATGTACTAAGAAATCTCAACACTCCAGATCTTTCCTCTGGCACAAACTGTCTTCGAAAAGATAATCAGAGGAAACAATAATCTAGAATTTTTGGTATGGTGTCACACACCTGTAATCCCAGCACTTGGGAGGTAGAAGCAGAACTATCAGGAATTCAAAGTCATCCTTGACTATATATAGCAAGTTCAAAGCCAGCCGGGGCTACATGAAACCCTGTTTCAAATCAACCACAACAATAATAAATAAACAAATAAAATATAGATGCAAACAAAAAAATCCTCCTAAACCAAAAGATTAAATATGTAAGAAGCATTATTTTATACTTTTTTATTGGTATGGATGTTTTGCCTGCATGTATGTCTGCACACCATAGGCAAGCCTGGTCCCTGCAGAGCCAGAAGAGGGTGTTTATCTGAGGATACAGCAGTTACCGGAGAGAACTGAAGTCAGGTGGCTGTAAGGTGCCAAGTAAGTACTAGGTATCAAACCTCTAAAAAAAAAAAATCCTCTAAAAAAAAAAATCAGTGTTCTGAAATGCTGACTCATCTCTGGAATTGTTCTGGAAGTGCTGACCACCCCTAGAATTATATTTACAATTGGGTCTAAATAGCAAATGAGAGTTCTCTGTTGGGTCAAGATAGGAAAATATGTCGAAAACTTGTCAAATGATGTGTCTTATTACTGTGTTTGAAAATAAAATTGTAAGTCTATGGTTGTAGTTTAGTCATAGAGTGTTCATGCTTAAGGTGATGGGCTTAAAACCCTAAACAGCGAAACAATAATAAAGCCACAAATGCATACAGAAAAGGATCTGGCCCCTTGCGGTCTGTGGCTGTTGGAATCTGCTTCACACTGTGCTCCCACTTACTTTTAGTCTACTGTCCTCTGTTGAAAACTCAGAGAAGGCAGACTGAATGGCTGAGTAGCATGTATCTTGAAATGGGGAGGCGTTTACCAACTCTAGCTATGTCTTTTGGGATTTGCATTCTCATTGGAATACACATTTATTTTGGTTTAACTTTACGTTTTGTTTTCTGTTTTTTTCCAGTAATGGGATTGAGCCTAGTACCTTGTCTATGCTGGGCCAGCACTCTGCCTGGGCTATATCTCCAGCCCTGTTTACTTTCTAGATTGATTCAGGATCTTGCCAAGTTGCTCAAGCAGTATGGAACTTGTGATCCTCCTGCCTCAGACTCACAAGTAACTGGGATTACAGATTTACACAATCCAGAATTGCTTTTTTATATAGACTTCAACTCTTTCCCATAATGCACTCCCTTATTTTTTTTTACTATTTCAAATAATGCAAATAGCATCTGAGAATGTTCTTAATACATAAGCTCAAATCCTAGAAGACTGCATGTGTGCACAAGTGCGCATTGAGTGTGAGTATTTATTTCCACATACACTTATGAAGTTTTTCTTGCAGCAGTTTTACCTAAGGATAGCTCAAAATCTTCTTCCAAAACACTTACTAGGTTAGTGGGTATCCTTCTTCCTCCAAACACTTAGTAGGGTGTATGTTTATGGAATTTTTCTTATAAACACATTCATGAATTTATTTTTTCCCATTGTACTATTCACTTACGGTCGTGGCTTTAACTTACACAGTTTGAAGTTGAGCATCAAAACTGGCCCCAGCCTTTTCCTCCTTCACACTATCACAGGCAGATATTATGTCATCTTAGCAGCCTCGCTATGTGATTTTGTTCTCTTTCCTTTTTATACACAGAGCTTTCCCCCGTTTCACTCAAGGGGAGCGCTTCATGACTTCTCTGTGGCATGCCCAGCTTGTCAATAGCACGACTTTTTGTTTATTGCCATCATTAAGCAAAATAGGTGTTTCTTGAACTCAGGTGCTGAGATGTGAGATGATAACCAAGACAGACACTGAGCGACAAACAGGCTGGCAACACACATAGTGTGGATATGCACAGCAGATGTTCCTATCTTGTGGGGAAGGAGTAGGAGAGCATGACATCCCATTAGTCTACTCGGAATGGCACACAGTTCAGATCTTATTATGAATGTCTAGGGTGTCCTACTTAGAATCTTCAGACCTCAGTTAACCACATGTATTTGAAACTGCAGAAGACGTCACCTCAGGGAAGTGACTACTGTGTAATTAGGCCACGAGCTAGAGGACCATCGATAAGTGCTTTGATCTTCCAGCTCTCTCACGAATCACCTTCCTTTACCCACTGGCACTCATTTGCAAGCGAGGTAATTTCATCCCCCACAACCAAATCCATGTACAGCTCTGCTAGGATGAAAATTAAGATTAACTTGTGGCTTGAGCATAAAAAGATTGTAGGTGTATGATGAACCCATCCACTCGGAGACACTCAGGTCATAAAAGGGAACTGGTACCCACAGATGTCTTAAAGAGTTAATGATATGGAGAAACTGGAAGTGGAGTCTTGTGGAGACAAGTGACCTTATGGTTTGCTCATCTCTGAGTTGCGTGACTGGTAACACTGACAAGAAAATATTATTGCTTTACAGTAGCCACATGAGTTACAATTATGTCACAATTGTGCTTATCAAGAACACTTATAAAACAAACATGATTACCAGAAGTGTGTTTATTTCCACATATGCTTATGCAATTTTTCTTGCTACAATTTCATCTAAAACTATGCCAGAATCTTCCTGCAAGACAATTAGTAGGTAGCGGATACTCTTCAGATATGAAATTCCTTTGATCATTATGTAACAGTACAATATTTTATGCACTTCTATGAAATGTTTGTGGCATTTAATCGCAGTAAAGCTTAACCTTGTGACTCCATATACCCTGGGCAGAGAACTACACACTAAATCACAAAAATACTTTCTGATAAGGCAAATAATGACAAATAGCCTTTCACTTTAAAAGAGTGTTATATGCAGGCTCAAGAAGAGTTTAAACCAGTTTGTGGGTGAAAAGTATAGGGTCAAAGGTTGGACTGAACCTGGTCACCAATGAATTAGGCAATAGGACAGCCTCACTTGACTTTCATTGTCTCTAGCTGTAGGGTGACAACTTGAAGGAAATCTGTGGTTTAAATGCCTTTGCATAAGTTTAAGTTGTTGTAGAAAATAAATTAAGAGCTCATTACTTTAAAGAGAATTGATTAAATGGTATTTTTCATATAAGAATCTCATTAGTGCATTTTATATACGATTTAACACCAGGGTAAACATTTTACAGTGCTATGCTTCAAGGAAACAAACTTGGGTACTGAAGATGTAGCTCACTAGAAGAGCACATGCCTAGCATGTGCAAGGCCTCAACAATACACACACACACGTATGTATGTATATTTATGTATATGTGGTACTATCTGTGAGTGTCAACTTATGGCACATTCTATGAAGGTGTTTTGATGACAAATTTAACCCTTTTCTGATAGATTCTGGGGTGGTGAAAGTTAGTAAAAAACCAACAAACACCATCTGTAACATATTACTGCTTTGCAAACGTTAGTCAAATATGATAATAAAGAAAATAATATTACTTTTATTGCAAACATTTAAGATGTGTTATTTTGTATCTCTTAAATGGAATACACTTATGTTCTGCATCCATTAGTCTGCCTGTATATAATTAAGTTAATAAGTTTTTCAACATAACATGGCATACATAAAATATAAATATTTTGGGATAGTTCTCAAATTTAAAAAATGTGATAACATCTGTACTATATCAGCTTAATCTTACCTCAGCTGGTTGTGCAGAGTCAAGAGAGCTCTACTGTGGTCCAAATAATGCCA